TTCTCGCAGGTCAAGGAGGAGGTAATGGCGAAGGGAAGGAGGTTCTGGTGCCTGTATTAGAATGCCTATTAGATTAGTCCTTGTTTTCTACAAAGTACCATCTAACGAGGCGCCTCTGGCCTCTGGTGTGCTGTGTGGTGCAGCGGTAGTGATCTCGTCTAGCAGTTTTGCTGACCTGCGTTCAATTCCCTCGCCGCCAGTGGATGGTAACCCCGGCCATTCCTTGCACACAGGGGAAAATTTAGAAGCAAAATGAAACAGACAGTATGTCATACCAAGAATATCCATTGTAACAAATGGAATCAAACTAAATTATAAATTATTATAATTAATTCTGTTCCCGACGGCAGAGTGACCTCGTGGCCGCAGGACTCCTGGCGGCAGGACTCGAGCCCGGGGACCGCCTGGGGATCTGGGGACCCAACAGCTACGAGTGGTTCCTCACGCAGTTCGCCGCCGCCAAGGCTGGACTCATTCTGGTAAGGGTAAGGAGGAAGGGCGAGGAAGGGAAAAAAAAGGAAACGAAATGAGAGGAGAGGAGATGATGGAGGAGAGGAAAGGGAGGAAAGAAGGAGAGAAAGGAGAAAAATGTAATGCTCATGTCAAACAACTGTTCGATCTAAGTTCTGAAATCACTGGACTTGAACTTTCATATTGTATCAAAGTAACAAGTGTCTCGTTTTACTCTATCTATCCTATCCCTGAAGTAAGGCACGAAAATACTTTTACATCACATTCTGTGGGTAACACCAACGGACTTTGAACTGTACCCATGCCTTGCATTTGTACTTTTCAATATGTAATGAAATGAGTGTTTGGTTTTGTGTAGGCTTCTTAATCATACAAAAGTATGGCCAGAATTGATATACCTACGTATCACAAACACATTTTAAGCATACTCACGCGCGCGCACTGTCTTCAAGAACCAAAATAGTTTTAAGGTCAAGGCACTTGCTGTCCAGTCTTTAAGTATATGAAATATTGAAAATTTTCATTATTATTTTATATTTGTAAATGAGAGCAAAGCTTATTAGAAAAGATTAAGATAGAGTTTGAAAGTGCTAAATACTTAAGAGAAATAATGTAATGATAATAATAGCGATAATGATAATAATGATAGCATTAACAATAACAAGAACAACAAAAACAACGACGATGTAATGAAGATAACAGTGAAATAAGTGACAATGGCATTAGCAGGAAGTCATTATTTTCTGTACCTTCGGTGGCTTCGGGCTTTCTTAACAGAATTATTTAATATGTCATTCAAAAATCATATTATTAATCAATTTCTCAGCGGTGAGTCCGGGAGGGGTTGAAAGAATCGACACCCATCTATCATTAGCCACACTTTTATATACACGTACGCACACACAAACACACACACACACATATATATATTAGTAGTAGTAGTAATAAACAGCCGCCGTTCATTTCAGTGTATGACTTAGGCCTCTCTCAGTTAATAACTGACAGGTAATTTGGCATTACTACCCTTACCTGATTGGATGCCCTTCCTAATCAACCGCGGTGTGTGTGTGTGTGTGTGTGTGTGTGTGTGTGTGTGTGTGTGTGTGTGTGTGTGTGTGTGTGTGTATTTATATATATGCACACGTCTGATAAATTTGAAAGATAAACAGAAAATTTCCCAAAACGGCTATCGAACAGGATCTCTTTCTCCCCCGGGACCTCACTTTCTCCTATGTCGCGATCCAGTTAGAAGTCGCTATCACACTTTACCTTTTGCGCGACGGAAGGTGTTAAAGCTATAAAAGAATACACAGACACATAGACACGCATTTGGATTACCCTTTGCAACATTCATCAATTGCAATGACCCTAATCAACCAACTGCAATTCGCAGGTGAACATCAACCCCGCCTACCGTCCCAGCGAACTCGAATATTGCCTCAACAAAGTCGGCGTCAAAGGCATTGTCTGCGACGAGAAGTTCAAAACGTCAGAGTAAGTCAGATGAGTCAAGTTAGTAACTGGCTGTTGTTGCCGTTATCGTTCTTGGTATCGACTAGGGGAGGGGGGCTATTCGTGTTCGATATTTTTATTATTTCCTTTTATTTTCGTAGTTAAGAATAGAAACAATATATATATATATATATATATATATATATATATATATATATATATATATATATATATATAAGAACAAGTATAACATCAAGGATTATTTCATGAGAAAATTGTAAAAAATCGCAACGTTTCGAATCACGACAGCTATTTTTTTTTATTTACAGTAAAATCAAGTACAATTCCCATTACAAAAAGAAAAGAAAATGTGCCAGTGTTATACTTCACTTATTTTTACTATTGTATTGTGCCAATGATCTGTTTTATGCGTCATTATAATTTTCTTGTCCCTGTTGTTATTATTCTCGTGTTTTTTATTGTGCACTTAATATGTTTTATCTTATCTGTCATTATTATTTTCTTATTGTGCCAGTCTTTCATTCTACATATGCACATACGTTACAGTGTCTGTATTTTGTTCATGTTCTTCCCAGTTACTACAAGATGCTGTGCGCCGTGGCCCCTGAACTGCCTTCCTCCGCGCCGGGTGATCTAAGTAGTGCCGCGCTTCCCCACCTCAAGAAAGTGTTTATCTGTTCTCAGGACAAGCTAAGGTGAGATATGTCTTGGGATTTTTAAGGGTATATTTGATGGAATAAAGTTTTGTGTGATTTTCAGTATCTCTTGTGGATGCATGTTGAATATGCGGGAGATAGGCCTATGTGCGATATGTGATTGTTTTGTACACTTTATTATAATTTTTATTTTCATTTATTATTATTATTATTATTATTATCATTATCATCATTATTATGCCTCCGGCTTTCGTACGAAGTTTTGACAGTTACTTTAGCCTAAATATATCTGGCTAGTTTCCTGTCAGCCATAAGAGTTTATAAATCAACTTTTCAATGTCAATTTTCAGTGGCACCTTCAGATTTGAAGATCTTTACGGAGCTGGTGAAAGTTCCCATCGAAAAAGGGTAGATGAACTGTCATCTAAAATCCAGTTTGATTCAGCCTGTAACATTCAATTTACATCCGTGAGTACTTATGGTTGCTGTTATAGATCGGTTTCTCGTAAGTAAAAATAAATTGATGTAGTAGTTTATAGGAGCTACCAAATGTTTTAATCGAAAAGTTCTATTTAAGTTCGGTATGTTCAGATCATTCCTTTGACGGCGTATTTGCTCATAAAACTCCCACACTGGAGACCGCAAACTGGTATTTGAATGGTTTACTTAAGATTTCAAAATTTTCCGGTTTCCAAATGCGTAAATTGGGTCACTAAAATTGAAAACCTAAGACTAGAAATGGCTTATGCTTCATTTCAGTAATGTAATACTTTTGATATTGAGTTTTCGTTTTCAGAATTTTTGTGAACAAATTTTACCAAAATATTTTCTATAGCAAAAAGAAAAAATATATTTATAAGAATGTAAAAGGTTTTGAACAGCTTATTTTCCTATGCATGCATTTTTGTATACCACTAAAATTTGGTCATCTGCATGTACTTCATAATATTAAATTTTCTTCTACATTTAGACAGCCATGAATTTTGTACATTTTATATTGTCAAAGATGACCACAGTTAAACAATCTATTTCAGGGAACGACCGGTTTGCCCAAAGGAGCTGTTTTGTCTCATCACATGCTGGTGAACAACGCCTATTCTATCGGGAGCCGCATCGAATATGCAAAAAAGGTGGAATTGTGGTTATCTTTCTGTTCTTGTGTCTAAAGCTGGACGGGGATGGCTCTTGTTTCCTTTAAAAAATAATAATAATAAAATAAAAATGAGGAATTGGTTGATAAACGAAATATAACTTACATATTGCGTCATCATATGGTAATTACAGAAGCTATGGTTAAGAGAAGAATTAATTAGGTTATTTAATGATTTCAGCCTCATCGCATATGTATTTCGGTGCCTTTATACCACTGTTTTGGCTGCGTCGGTGGCACTCTCTGCGGCATGCTGTATGGGGCCACCTCTGTCCTTCCCGGCGCTGGCTTTGACCCCGATACCATTGTCAAGACACTCGAAAAGGAAAAGTTAGTTTTCGTTCATGATTCTGTTCCTTATGCTCCTCCCCCCCCCAAAAAAAAAAGGAAACGGAATGAAGGAAATGATGAAAAAAAAATTGCTCGACCTTTTTGTTATCCAAACTCTGTTCGTGCAAATTCCTTCCATCACTAATACTAATAAAACAGTAACGTGTACAAATCTGAAGTGAAACAGACATAATGATTTAAGAATCAGAATAGACTCATCAGACGAGGAGTTTTGTCAAGATTCGAAACGTTATAGCTCTCTTATTTCTTTTATTTTGATGAGCAATTATAATCATAAACGAATTCCTCTTCAAACAGAATCACCTCCTGCTACGGAACGCCCACGATGTTTGTCGACATTCTGAACGCTTTCCGCAAGAACCCGGTGGATCTAAGCGCCATCTCGACGGGAATCATGGCAGGCGCTCCTTGTCCGCAGGAATTGGTGATGGCTGTCATGAACGACCTCAAGATGAAGGACTTTTTAGTGAGCCTTGATACGTTATTGTCCTTTTGAATATATGAGGGAAGTATGGTGGTGGCAATAAAGTGGCAAAATCAGAAGGTATTAAGCAATAACTGAGGCCATATGGGATACGATAATTATAGTATCAATGCAGAATCAACCATCATGGCGTTAACGGTAAGAATGACAAATATAATAACGGTGATAAAGATAACAGATGATAACAATGACCTTCGTCCACTGCAGGTGATGTACGGGATGACCGAGACGAGTCCCGTGACCTTCCAGTGCTTTCCTTCAGATCCTCCTGAAGTCCGGTCCTCCACCATCGGCTACCCGGGAGATCACATTGAGGTATCGGTTCATTAAGAGTATGTGATATATTTACCACACAGAGGTACCGATGCATTACGAGTATGTGAACCACCTCGTTTCGACTCTTGTGTCCGAAACA